ACTAAGGCCTGGAGGGCAGAAATAACTTGCTCAGGGTCACAGAGGTAGTGATTGACAGACACGGGAAGGGCAGCAGGTCTCTGGACTTGAAACTTAGAGCTCTTTCTACCCCTCCACAACAGCCAAAAGGGAACACGGTGTCTCTGCCTAGCACAGTTCCATGCCATTTTTTTGAGGATCCTTTAGCTGTAGGCTAGAGAAGTTTGGGAGCATGACAACTCTCCCAGGATTTTCCATCTCTTTCCTCTCACTTCACACATCTCTGAGGCAACCACCAATTTGGCTGCTTGGACACATGTCGAGGGATGCTCCCCGGGCTAGCTGCCTACACCAGCCTGGAACCACAGCAGGTGTAAATCAAATAGAGGGAAAATCTTGATAATTGGATGACAAGGGAGATGGCGAACAACTTTCCTCCTAAGCAGAGAGAAACACTTATCTATCATGTTGACTCCCCTAAAGTGAGATAGAGTTGCACATGGACTAAACAAAATTATACGAACTTTTTAAAAGGCACGTTGATCTCAGAGAGTGAACGAAACCCCCGATGTTTTCACTGTTCAGAGTACCCCCGTTATGAGGGTAGCAGTATTAGACTCTCTGTTCTTCCTGGAATAATGTTAGAACTTTGTACTCTGTCCACTCCCTGAAAGATAAAGGGATAGTCCAATTCGAGTCTCAGTTTGTAAGGGGCAAACCTCTTTCCTCCGTTCGGGCTTGTCAGTGTGATGCTAAAAATGGTCCTTTGGTTGACTTGTGAATAATCGATTCTCTGACGCTGACAACACTTAGGAAAATGAAGGTATAAATGATGGCAGCGCCACGCAGCCCCGAAGCAAACGCCCAGGCTGAGGTCAGAGGAACTGGAGCAGCGCCTCAGAGCAGAGGGAGACCTGCCACGTCGCAGGTGAGAGGGGTGGTCCCAGGGGCTGGGCTGGATGGGGGCAGGAAAGTTGACCTTCTCGCCAAATCAAAGAGGCCCATTACCGTCCTCTTTGCCCGTGGACTGGTGAGTATATTCAGGCCCCTCGTTAGTGCCACACTGAGGTTGTCTGGGGTGGGTGGCACCTCAACCCACGGAGAAGTGGCAGGCAGACAGGTGTCTTCCAGGTGTCTGTCGGAGGCAGGTGAGGTCTCAGTGCTCCTTCAAGTGTGTGTGGGCAGGTTTCTGGGGCAAGACATGGGCTGGCTAGATTCTCCTGTCGACCTGGGATTCTGCCATGGATCGGAAAGGAGCCAAGTAGCTGTGCAAATCAATACCACGCATCGATCGCTCAGAACCAATTCAACATAATTGCCTGGAAATTGATAACACTTCGCTTTCTTGCTCAATTGCACCCGCACTCGCTCTCGGTTTCAGGCACAATTACCTGCCCTTGGGGCGCACCATTACCCCCAGCCGGCGTCCTGGCCTTTCTTTAAGGGCGTGGAGTGTTTGTGTCTTTCATCGCAAGCCGCCTCAAACCCTTTCTGGAAGGAGACGGGGTGTCACTCTCTTGGGTGACAACTAAAGACAATTCCTCGTTAAAAACTTAGATCTCGTGAGACTTGGAACACTATTGGTGAAACACTTGATAAACTGGACCAGGATAGAATATTAAGAAAGGTAAAAGATCTTTCCCCTTAGATGTTCAAAAGGGGCCTCACTAGTTTGGGCACTTGAGACATGACCTCTGTTATTAGCTGGAGGCACAGGTGCAGAATTCTCGTGGCATCCGTGGCACGAAGGCTGGCAAAAGGCGCCAGCTGGTGTGGATCCAGTGCCCGCTTACCCTGGATCCGGACGCCCTCGCATATATCTAATCCCAGAATTAGTTTGTAAGCACAGCGGAAAGCTAATTGATCCTCGTAATGACAGATAATAAACCCCGAAATGCTTTGGAGCCATCAAGGAGTTGTCGACGATGTTGTTGGATTTGTGCTACACTTAAATCAGTGAATTCTAGCTCCTTAGACTGCTCATGTGGAATGTCTGTCAATAGCTATTTTATTTTGGTGATGCAACCTCTATTCTACTCTTAGCATAAGATGGAATATTCTTATTGTTTCCCGTCTTTGTCCAGCGGGATTTTCCAGCCCCATGGATTGGTTCTCACAGCCTAAAGGTGTCTTGACCCATCCCTGGGGCACTTGATTTATGGCAAATGCTGTGCCTCTTGGTTGACCAGGCTACATAACTGCTCATTCTGATTGAGCAAGGGGTTCTGAATTTACTATGACCTGCCCCCCAAAGTCTGCCCTCTCACCAGGTTGTTTTCAGCTCCCAAAACCATTGAGTGTGTGTAGGGACGCGCCAACCAAGCAGGTGTTCCTGTTTGTCCCCCTTTTTCTTCCCCAGAGACCCAGTGACAAAGAGCTAAAGCTTTTGGTTTCCTCAGACCCGTTTTCCACGTGCAGGTGATGGACTCTGAAGCGCCCCATGAGTGGAGAGCGCTGGGAATAGGGTGTTGTGTCTGGGAGGCTGCGGGGGAGCCGGAGGAAGTCGGGTGGCTTGGGAACCCCGAGGCCCATTCTGAAGCACACGCTCCTAAACTAATTTGACGGCGGACCATGGAAAAAGGCCCTCTCCTCTCTGGTCTCATTTCCTCAGCTATAAAAGGAAGATGGTGGCTCTGACCGGTTTTGCTCAGTGGTTAGAGCATTGGCGTGTGGTCCAGAGAGACCCGGGTTCGGTTCCCGCTAAAGGCATGTACCTCGGTTGCAGTTTGTCCCCGGCCCTGGTTGGTCGTGCGGGTGGCAGCCACTCGATGTGTCCTTTCACATCAATGTTTCTCTCTCTCTCTCTTCCTCTCTTTCCCTCCCACTCTATCTGAACAAAAAATGGAAAAATGCCCTCAGGTGAGGATTTAAAAAAAAGGAAGATGGTGATACCTGCCCCCGAGGTTGAGAGTGAGGGTGAGCAGTTCGGGTCATGAGGGCACGGGGGCTGGGAATCACTTGTGCCAACTCCAGAAAAGAGGCAGGAGATGGGGAGGCCAAGGGAGGGCTTAGGCCAAGAGCAGAGGTTCTGGCTTTGTTATGGAAGGAGTGGGGGGCCAAGGGCTTCTGAGCAAGCAAATGGAGTGATTAGGGACCTAGATGTGCTCAGGTCTTTAAAAGATCAGCAGCAAAGAAGATAAGAAAGTCCAGGCTGTGGCTGGGAGGTGGCAACGGCGGTGGTGGTGTCAAGGGGCCCTCTCTGCCTCCAAGGATCTCCTTGCTTAGCAAACTGTCAGTGGACCAGGTCAGGAAAGGGGAGACATGCGATATGGTGTGATGAGGAGGACAGAAGACAGATCCTATGAGGATCAAAGGCCTACGTTAGATGCAAAACACATATAAGGGGATGTGTGGATGAAGGTGCAGGAGCTCTGGGTGGCATGGCAGGTGGGTGTCAAGGGGACAGCCCTCGGGGACATCTTTTCTCTAGCCCAGGACTTACCAGAAGCGTAAGAAGTATTTGCAGGATAGGAGGACTTGGACTTGACACCATGAAAAAAACTTCCTAATAAGAAGAGCTGCCTGGAATTAGGACAGATTGGCTTGGAGGCAGTGAGCTCCCCGTCATTCACTGAGTGTTTGAGCAGGAACTGGAGGATTGTCTGGAGGTAGGATGGAGGGAGTGTGCACCCTTAGGCGGGGCCGATGACTGAGGCCTGGATGGCGGCTCCCTCCAACTCTGGAAGTATGGGGGTCCCACCCGCATTGAGCTGCCCCATGTGTGCTCCCGTGGGTCTCCAGGCATCCCTGGGTCAGGACCCACTGTCTGGGAGAAAGGGGGGTGGGGGTGATACCCCGAGAGGGCAAGTGAGCCCAGTAAAGGAAGGTGGATCCTGCCAGTGCTGCTGCTGCTGCCGGAAATCACTCCTCAACAGGACCCAGGAAGAAATAGAGCAATGTGGGGTGATCATGGAAGAGGAGGGGTTCCTGCCCTCTCTGGGGCTGGTGAGGCTTCTGGATAGGTCTGTATCCCCACGGAATGGATAGCCCGCTGAAGGGAGGGGTGCCGTAGGAAACGGGAAGACCCAATTCCTAGGTGACTGTCACGCCAGGGCAGATCTGGGTTGACAGCAGAGGTACCTCTCCAGAAAAAAACAAGGAGGAGGGCTCTCTCCCTATTGACTGTTCCTCCTCCCTTTGCAGAGCGCCGGTCAGCAGGCCCTGATTAGGGTAATTACGTGATCTGTGAGATAATTCTGCCGCACAGCTCCCCAGACTCCCTGGTCTCTTCCAGGACTCCAACCCTGTGGTGAAATCTAAGATTTATAGACTTCCCTTCCCTCCAACGCCACACAAAACCCAAACAGCGCATGCGTAATGTGACTACCCGGCGGGTCTGCATCAGATCATCACAGCAAAAGCGTGTGGCGAATTCCCCCGGAGCCAAACAATGGGGGGCTCGTTCCATCGAATGCTTACAAAGACCCTATGCAGTAGATAGAATTATTGATTCCGTTTCATGGATAGGGAAACTGAGGTCCAGAAAGGAGAAGTCGCTTGTCCTGGGATGCACAGCTAGTATGGCAGAGCCTGAATATGGACTCGGGTTTGTCTGACTCAGAGCCCGAGCTGTTAGCCCCGCCCAGTACTGTCAGTGCCACGTGGGTCGGGGGTGACTTCGGAGAGATGAGGGGAAGGTGCCAGCTCCTCCCCTGTCCCTTGCCGAGGCCTGACTTCCATGAATAATGTCTTACAGGAAGGGGCAGTTTCACCATTATCTTTAATTTCTGTTTTCTGTTCAACCCACTGAGGTCAAGTAGGGTACGTTTATCATGGCCATTTTACAGATGGAGAAAATGAGGTCAGAGCTCATGACTGGCAGAGGCAGTACTTGGACCCAGGCCTGTCTGGCTTTCAGAGTCAGAGTTCTTCTTCCCACCCCACGCTTCCAAAGGACAAGGACCAAGGCTTGCACGGAGCCAAGTCCAGGACTGGGCCCAGCCAGCAAAAGGCATCCCTGTGGCTATGGCTTCATCTGACCTGCCCCCTGTCATTTCCAGGTGCCGCCACAAGGCTGAAGGATGCTGCTCTGGGTGTTCTTCCTCCTGGTCCTAACCCTCAGCAGTGGTCCCCACTTCTCCTCGCCCTCCCCGACCCTCAGGTAAGCAGTCCTGCCGACAGAGCCTGGATTTCCATACCCCAAAACCATCCCTGCTGGAGGAGGGGTGTTCAGAGGATGCAGAATCCAGCCATCAGCTGGCCTCAGGCAGCCCCCACTGCCCATCTGTGGGAGGGGGCCAGACTCTGAGCTCCAAAGAGGTTGCCCATCCCAGGTTCCAACTCTCTCTGGGGATGAGCAGAGCAAAGGGCAGCACAGGACCTTACAGAGACCAAATGAGTGCAGCCACCTCTGTCCCCTCTCCTGGGCCCACCATACCACCATTTGACCTTTGACTCCTCCCACATAGGGTGCCACGGTATGCAGACGCCATCTTCACCAACAGCTACCGGAAGGTGTGGGGCCAGCTGTCTGCCCGCAAGCTGCTCCAGGACATCATGAGCAGGCAGCAGGCGTAAGCAGAAGTTCTAGGAATTTCTTTCCACACTGCAAGTGCATCAGAGTTTGGAGGGACCAAGTTTGGCCTCTCGCTCTGCACAGCTTCTGTCATTTCTGGACTTGCCAGAGCAGAAGGACCCAACATCAAATCTCAGCTTACCTCTAGCTGAGGTCGCTGAGCACCTGTCATGTGCTTCTCCCTATGCGGGGCTCCAGTAGTAACAATACCGACGGTAGTTGGTCGTGACTCTTTGCCAGAAACAAAGGCTCTGCATTGGGGTATTTACATGCACTTGGCACAGTGCTGGGCACAGTAAGCCCTTGGTAGTGTTAGCCATTGTCCTTCATGTCTTACCTGCTCTTTCTAACAACCCTGTGAGGTAGGTCTCTCAACCCTGTCGCCCAGAGCCATGAATAATTTCTAAAGGACACATACCCAAGAGTGGCAGGGCTGGGATCCAAACAGCCTAACTCCATGGCCTGTACATTTTTTAGTTTTCATTTTGAAAAGAATTCCAAACTTACAAAGAAGTTGCATCAATGGTACAAAGGACTTCCACATATTCAATAATTCCAAACATTCTTATCATATTTGCTTACTCTCTATCTATACCTATATATGGATCTATACATACACATGCAAACATGTGTACTCATTAATTACTATTTATTATTTTATTATTATTATTGCTGAACGATTTGAGAGTAAATTGCGGATCATCATAACCCTTCACCCTTAAATACTACTGCAGGTGTCTCCTAATATCTAATTAACGGATATTCTCTTACATAATCACAGTAGAATGATCACTTAGTGTCCCTATTCAAATTTCAGCAGTTGTCCCAAAATGTTCTTTATAACAAGTATTTCTTTTCCTAATTCAGGATCCAATTCAGGATTATGAGTTGCATTTAGTTGTCATGTCTCTTTAGTTTCTTTTCATCAGGAACCATCCCTCAGTTTTTTTGTTTGTTTTTAATCCTCATCCGAGGAAATTTTTCCATATTTTGTTCAGATAGAGTGGGAGGGAGACAGAGAGAGAAACATCGACGTGAAAGGGACACATCGAGTGGTTGCCACCCGCACGACCCAACCAGGGCCGGGGACAAACTGCAACTGAGGTACATGCCCTTAGCGGGAACCAAACCCGGGTCTCTCTGGACCGCAGGCCGGCACTCTAAACACTGAGCCAAACCAGCCAGGGCCATCCCTCAGTTTTTTATGCCATTGACGTGTTTGTTTGGTAAGGGCCAGTTGTTTATAGAACGTCCCTTCTGTTGGATATGCCTGATGCTCCCTCCTGGTTAGGGTCAGGTTATGCACCAGAATGATGCTGTGTCCTTCTCTGTGCATCGCCTCAGAAGGCACATGAGGCCAGTTTGTCTCATTAGTGGTAATAGTAACTTTGATCACTTGGTTAACATGGTGTCTTGCCAGGTTTCTCCTCTGTAAAATTCATATTTTCTCCTTTGTAATTAATAAGTAATCTGTGGGGTGATATTTTGCAAATGTCTATTCCAGTGAAGAGAGCCTGATCTCTTCACTACATATACTCTGCCTTCCTAATGTTGCTGAATCTAACTCGGTTGGGAGGAAGCCTCCAAACCAGATATCAGAATAGGTCCCGGGCCTGTTCTGCTCACTTGGCGCTGGCCCTTCCCAGGCCGCTCCACGTCCTACCCAAAGAGCAACTTCAGCTGTTTCTCTTTTTTCTAATCAAATAGGGAGAGAAACCAGGAGCAAGGAGCAAAAGTACGGCTTGGCCGTCAGGTGGACAGCATGTGGGAAGACCAAAAACAAATGGTATTGGAGAGCATCCTGGTGGCCCTGCCGCAGAAACACAGGTAGAATACATGCATGTGTATGTATATGTATGAGAGTGTGCACGCATGCATGTGTGTGTGTGTCTAGGGAGTTAGGGACTGCCTCCCCCAAGGGCCAGCAGAAAAAGGAAGGAATCTCCTCCTCTCCAAAGGCATGGGGCTCTGCCAAGCCCTCCTGACACACATCAAGACCTGGAGGGCGGGGAGAAGATGTGTGAGAGGGACTGAATCTTATCCCCTGCTCTATCTCCATGTGTAGCGAGAAGCCAGGCTCAGCGTCTGTGTCCAAAAATTATTACTGACTTAGTCATTCTGGGATAGGACCCAGGAACCTCAGTTTTAACAAGTGTCCCAGGGGGTTGTGTTGGGCATGATCTGGGAGGTGTTCCCTGGGTCCCTTGCCAAGTTCACAAATCTATAAAGCCAAAAGACCAGCCCCTCCCAACACTGTCTGGTAGACTAGTGTGTACAGCATTCATGCGAGGGCAAGGTGGGGATGACAGTCATTCCCCATCTCACTGACCCTCCCATTCCCATGGAGAGTCAGGGAAGACTAGGAATGAGTTTTCCCATTTTGCAGAAGAGGAAAACTGAGGCAGAGAAGGGGCAGCAGCTGGATCCAGGTCAGGAACTGGCAGGCCCAACCAAGACCTACTCTCTTTCTCTGGAGTTCCTTCCCACAAAGCCCACTTAACAGACAAAGTTTCACAAGAATGACATGACTGTTGGGAGATACTCTGCTATATTTCTAGGCCGATTTTCAACTGTGAGCACAAACGTGTCCCAGCATGACTCTGCCAGGCCCTTCTGGACCTATTAAGCAAATCCAGTTCCCAACAGAACTCTCCATGTGCTCCCTCACCTTCTTTCCAGCCTAATTAGACACCAAGAGCTCAGAGATCTCACCAACTACAGTCCTGTGGAGATACAAGCAGCAGCAGGCGGACAGGCAGGCTGCAGGAGGGGTGAGAACCAGGCTGGGAGGCAGGATGCACACCTGAGCCCCAGGTCTGGTTCCCCAGCCAATTCGCTGCACACAGCAAGCTGGCTGCCTCGTTTCCTCCTCTGCGAAAGAAGGCGGTTAGCACCGACCACCTCTCAGGTCCCTAATGCCTCTAAGAATAATGCCTACCCTGTGCCTCTCATGCTGGGATTAGGTCATCATTCACCTGCTTTATGGCTCCCACCAGGCCCCAGTGGGGTATAGTGGCCCCAAGGAAGGCCGGGTCCTAAGAATGCAGGCTTTATTCCTGGAGGTCAAAAGCCAGAGGCTTCACAGAACAGCAGGAGGGGGTCTGGAGGCTGCTGCGGCCATTGTTCCCCCCCACAGCGCTACTGCAGCAAATACCAGGATATCACTGGTGGGCCTGAGAAAATATGCAATAAGACTGAGTTCTTCCGCCTTGACAAGGCAGAGTAGAATAACTTGGCAGACGGCACACTTTTGCACCCATTATACTTCATATCAGCCTGGCAGCCCTGTAAAGTAACTGAGGTTCAGATGTATCTGTCCTCCTGGCCCTTAAAAATCATCCAGTGACTTCATGGGCCAGGCTCCGGGCTGAGGGTACAGCAGCCACAGGACGCAGTGGTCTGCTGTCGTGGCATTCACAGTGCACCGAGGCAGAAAGCGTAGGCAAGTACTCGTACAGTGGATTCTTTAATTTGTGATAAGTGGTAAGAGATGTAGGGGTGGTGAATGTGTGTGCCAAAGGAATACCCTAATCTAACCCTGTCTGGGGATTAGAGGTGACTTCATGGGGAAGTGACCAGCCTGGGATCTCAGTGGGAGTAGGTTAGCAGAACTGGGGCTAACAATGAAGTTCTTTTTCAATTTTATTTTATTACTTTCATTTTTTAAACATTTTCAGGGAAAGTTGACATGAACATTATATTAGTTTCAGGTGTACAGTATAGTGATTAGACATTTATACACCTTACAAAGTGATCACTCGTTAAGTCTAGTACCCATCTGACACCATACATAGTTATTACAATATTATTGACCGTATTCTTTTTTTTTTTTTTTTTTACTCCTCACCCGAAGACATTTTTTCATATTTTGTCCAGATAGAGTGGGAAGGAGAGAGAGAGAAACATCGACATGAAAGGGACACATCGAGTGGCTGCCACCCGCACAACCAACCAGGGCTGGGGACAGGCTGGGAACAAACTGCAACTGAGGTACATGCCCTTAGCGGGAACCGAACCCGGGTCTCTCTGGACCGCAGGCCGACGCTCTAACCGCTGAGCCAAACCGGCCAGGGCTGACCATATTCTTTCTCTGGACTGAACTTTACATTCCCATTCTGGTTTTTTGTTTGTTTGTTTGTTTTTGTTTCTTTTTTTAGAGGATGTTTATTAAAGCTGAGGACAGTGAAACAAGAAAGGGCTACGGAAATGAGCCCAGGTTGGGCTGCTGGCTCCATTGCTGCCCTGTTGCAAACCTCCTGGGGTCCCTTAGATTTTACGAGATGCATGCCTGTGGGGAAAGAAAGGGGAAGGGAACCCCGGGGAGTGCTCCTGGGAAGCACAGTGCGCCCCATGACTTTTTTTTTTTCTTTAATATACTTTTTATTGATTTTTTTTAAAGAGAGAGAGAAACATCAATGTGAGAGAGATATGTCAATTAGCTGCCTCCTGCATGTCCCCAACCAGGGATCGAACCCATGTGCTCTGACCGGAAATTAAACTGGGACCTCTCAGTCCGTGGGACAACGCTCAGTCCACTGAGCTGCACTGGCCAGGCAGCCCCATGACTGTTTTTATAACTAGCATTTTGTACTTAATCCCTTCACCTTTTTCACACATCCCCCAAACTTCCTCCCATCTGTCAACCATCAATTTGTTCTCTGTATCTATGAATTTGTTTCTGTTTCATTTGTTGATCTTGTTCTTCAGATTCCACATATAAGTGAAATCACATGGCATTTGTCTTTCCCTGCCTGACTTATTTTGCTTAACATAATTCTAGGACCCTCCATGTTGTTGCAAATGGTAAGATTTCATTCTTTTTATGGCCAAGTAATATTCCATTGTATATATGTACCACCTCTTCTTTATCCAATGGTCTATTAATGGGCACTTAGGTTGCTTCCATATCTTGGCTATTACAAATAATATTGCAATGAACAGCATAGCTATTGCTGAGTCCTGGGGCAGTTCTGCTTTTAATTTTTTGAGGAATCTTCATACTGTTTTAATATAGTGACTGCATCAATTTACTCTCCCACCAATAGTGCACAAGGGTTATATTTTCAAGAATGAGGTGCTTTTGGGAGCCAGACAGCCCTAACTTGCCCTTTCTCCAGTCCCCTGATTGAGCTTTTTCTTTCTTTCTGCAACAGGAATTCCCAAGGATGAAGATTCTGCCTATGTTTTATGCTGCCTGCAGCCAAAACACAACTGCATCCAGTTAATCCTATTTAATTTTGACCTACTTTTTCCTTTATAAATACAATAAAATTCCCCTATCCTGGTCAGCAGTTCAATTTTCTTTTATCTTCAGCCTAAATTTTTATGTGTTTTACATAGTTACATTTCCCAAAGTGTTATTACACAGAATAAGAATAATAATTATAATAATAATAATGAAATAGCTAACATTTACCAGGCTGGGCAGCTTCATGCCTAGAATCTCATATGCTCCTCACACAGCCTAATGGGAGGTGTTGGCATCCTTTTTCTTTTACAGACAAGGAACTGAGGTACAGAAAGTTTAACTGGATCGCTATGGGCACAGCTGACAAGGAGAGAGAGCTGGGGTTTAAACCAAGGCAGTCCATGCCCAGCTGGGGTGGCTCAGTGGACTGAGCATCATCCCATGACTGTGAGGTCCCGGTTCGATTCCCGGTCAGGGCACATGCCTAGGTTGTGGGCTTGTCCCCACTAGGGTTGTGTGTAGGGGTGGGGGAGTGATCAATGTTTCTATCTCTCTATCCCTTCCTCTCTCTCTAAAAAATAAAATCAATAAAAACCTATTTAAAAAAATAAATAAACCAAGGCAATCCAGCCCAGAACCAGCCTCTTAACCATATTCTTCTATTCCGGGCCAAACTCATCCTTCATTCATTGATGACTTGTTCATTCAACAGATATTTATAGAGTACCTACTATGTGCCAGACACTGTTTTAGGCATTGAGAATACAGTCATGAGCAAACAGACAAAGTCCCTGACCTCATAGAGTTTATATTCAAATTAGAAGAATAACAAAAACAAGAAAATGTAAAATATGTCACACAGTGGCAATTACAAAGGATAAAAATTTAGCGAGATGGAGAAGCTGGAGGGCACTGTTTTATCTATAATGGATGTGTGTGCTATGCAGTGGTCAGGGAAGGCCTCCTTGATAACATTTGAGTCAAGGCCTGAAGGAAGCAGGGTGATGACCTTGTGAATATCTGGGTAAAGAACATTCCGCGCAGAGTGAAAACCCAACACAAAGGCCCTGAGGCCAGAGTGGGAAAGGAGGAAGAGCAAGTAGGTTAGAGGGGCTAGAACAGAAAGAGGGTGTGGGAGGAAGGAGACGAGGCCCAGATGGAACAGGAGGCCAGCTCATGAGGACCCTGGGAGGCCATGGCTAGGATTTTGAATCTCTCCCTTGGTGAGGATTCTTCACAGAGTTTAAGTGGAAGAATGACATGATCTGACTTGCATTTAAAGACACACTGAGATAAGGTCAAATTCTGGAGACATTTTTAGGGTAGAATTAATTTGCTGATGGATAGGATATGGGGATTGGAGATGAGTCAAGATGACTGTAATGTCTTTGGCTTGAGCAACTGGAATGATAGAGTTGCCGTTTAGGAGTTTGGAGATGGTGGAAGAATTAGGAGACGGGTTAGACCTGTGGAAGTCTGAGATGCTACTAAAAGTCCAAATGAGGATGTTGAGTGCGGCACCTGGATTTACTAAGTCTGGAGACTGGAGTGAGGAGAGAGGTCTGGGCAGCCAGTTTGATTGGGCAGTTGTCACCATTTAGATGGTTTTTAGAGTCAGGAAAGTGAGTTAGATCATCAAGGGA